CGGCCGTTACACGGCGGCTTGCGCAAAATGCGGCCTCGTCCTCCCTCTGGACGACTTTGGCAATCATCAGCGCGAACATCTACTTGGAGTGTGCCGGTCCTGCGCCGAGCCTGGCAGACCTTCTACCCAAATACATTCACTTTCCCTGGGCGCTCTCGCCAACCCTTGCGAACATTGCGGGGCACCACGCTTCCAGCGAGAAGTTCGAGGCTTCTGCTGTGCACAAGGAAAGTACGCCATTGACTTCTCGCAGTACTACCAGCAGCCAGGCGATGCCCTTCTGCAGCTGTACAGACGCACCTGGCCTGTGAAGACTACGCGCGGGAACCTCGTCCACGACGACACCACGAATGCGCCCAAGCTTACGGGCTTCACTGCGGATTCTCGCCGCTACAACAGCCTGCTCAGCCTCGCCGCCCACGAGGTCCAGAGCGCCACACCAGAACGAGAAGTTCGATTCGGGGGCGTCCTCCGACCATCGTTCATCCGCATTCACGGCACCATGTACAGGAAGGTGTACTCGGCTGCCGACTCTGGGCCAGTCCGCTACCTCGTGGTCGACGACCGTGAGCGTCGCACGTGCGCCCGAGACCACGGCCTCGACCTCTCCATCGTGTCCCAACTGGAGAAGCTCATCATACCGCACAATACACACATGCAGCACGTTCAGCACCTCAAATCAGTTTGGCCCCGTGCCTCTGAGGCTTCCGTCAGTCTCCGGTGGGACGAAGGTGTGCAAGAAGTTGCCGCAGTAGTGCAACAACGCCCCGACGCCATCGCCGAACCCAGGGCAGTGTGCTTCCGTTTGACGCCAGGCGCTCGCCCACAATACCTCTCGCCCTTGCACTGCCTTTACGAGCCTCTGAGCTACCCGCTGTGGTTCCCCTACGGAGGCCGCGGGTGGAGCACCGACGCCGTGTCAACTTCGGGCAACCGCGTGACGCAGATGTGGTGGTACCGCCAGCACCTCCTCCGGCAACCCCACATGCACGCGTGCGGGCGTCTGTTGAACGACTGGCTGATCAACATGTACTGCCGAATGGAGGACGAGAGGCTGTCGTTGGTCCGGAGGGAGCAAAGCACCCGCATTGCCAGCCGAAAGGATTTGTGCGAGGCCTTGGCCAACGAACATATCCCCCCCAGCGCAATCGGCACCAAGTACTACCTCCCTTCCACTGTCCCCGGCTCTCCACGCCATCTGAAACGACTCCGAGTGGACGCATTGGAACTGGCACGCCGCAAGGGACCCCCTACTTACTTCATAACCCTTACCTGCAACCCCCACTGGCCAGAGATCCGAGAGGCACTCTCCCCTGGACAAACCGCCGCCGACCGCCCTGACATCACAGTGCGTGTCTTTCACGGACGTCTGGAAAAGATGATGGGCTACCTGAAGTCAGAGTTTTGCGGCCAACGTCGGTACGTCATTCGCGTGATCGAGTACCAGAAGCGAGGCCTGCCGCACGCGCACATCGTTCTCGCATGCACCCATCCCCCAACTACAGCCGAAGACGTGGACGCCGTGATTTCCTGCGAGGTTCCGCCCGAACCTGGCAAGCTTCGTGACCTGGTCTTGCTCCACATGGTCCACCGCTGCAACCGCTCCTGCCACCCTGACGACCCAGCGCAGGAATGCGTCAAAGGGTGCCCTTGGCCTTTCAAGGACGACACTGACTTCGACGTTCGAGGGCACCCCCACCACCGACGCCGCTCCTGCGGCCACACGTGCCCGAACTGCGTGCAAAACGCTCCTGCGTACGGGCGCCGGAATGTGTGCTGCAACCGGCTCGTCGTCGAGTACTGCCCCCGCATACTCTTGCTTTGGGAAGGACCGGCGGAACACCTCTCCGCGCAAAGTTCCTCATCCACTTACTCGCGCCCGCGAGCACCTTCCCCGCATTTCCCCACCTCTTTTCCGCAGACTTCCACTTCTCCCAATTCCTGCCCCCATGGGTCCCCCAATGTATGTTTTCATACATTATCAGCAAAAAAACGCATGCCAAAAAAACTGCTTCCGAAGGGACATTTTTTGACACCCCATTTCCAAGCCCGCGCCTCCGCAAAACGTACGTTTTCGGCAGTCGAGGGACGCCCTGGAAGTCGGATTTGTAGTGCTTCCCCACCCATGGTTTTCTTCTTCCCTACTCCTTTTGGACCGTACGTTTCCCTAGTCCCTCCCTCTTCTTTTTCCCCCCTTAACCCGTCATGTCCACCTCCTTCCCGATGCGGAGAGGTGTTCGGCCAAGGACACGCGAATGTAAAATTCGCAGGCAACGTGAACCTCTTCGAATACCTGTACAAGTACATCTTCAAAGGCCCAGACCACACCCAATACCATATATCTGACGCCACGACAGACGAAATCACAGACTGGCAACGTGGACGGTATTTATGTGCAACAGAGTGTGCCTGGCGTATTTTCGGATACCAGACCTACGAACGCGTCCCCCACGTCATCTGCCTACCAGTGCACCTCCCCGGCGACGATTGGGTAACCTTTGCTGACGGCGGCGAGGCGGACGCGCTCCAGACTACCGTTTCCCCTCTACAACGCTACTTTTTCCGGCCCACCGCTCCGCCTTTCAACGACCTGCTTTACCACGAATACTTCGAATCCTTCATGGTCGCCAAGACGTGCCCGATTAGCCTCCGATGTTTCTTCCCGGACCTCTTCCCGGATGCGGCTCAACGACCTCGGGGCCCGGCAACTTTCACATTGGAGTGCCGGGTTCGTGGAGCCTTGCGCACATTCCACGTGCCGCCCGTCCTCGACGCAGCTCCAGGAGGCAACCAATTCTTTGTCTACTTGAAGCAGAAAGGCGAACATCCAGTTTGCCGCTTAGAGATGAAGTTTCCCCGCCAGAAAGATGTATTTTTCTTGCGCCACATGTTGCTCAACTACCCCAAGCGCAGTTTCGAGGAATGCAAGACTCACGCTGGACATAGATACCGATCTTATGAAGAGGCAATGATTGCTACGGGGCTTTTCACCCACGAAGACGAAACCTCTCGAGTAATGGACGAGCTGGTCTCGCTCCGATACACGGCCTCCCAACTACGGTTCGCTTTCGTCGTCCTCCTCGAGCAGGACGCCAAGCCCCGCACGCTGTACGAGAAGTACGAGACACACTTGATGAAAGATTTCCTCGACAGGGGTCTCTCCAAGGACACCGCCCGCCGGGAGCTACAGCGAACGCTCAAAGCATCCTGGCTGGCCCAAGGCAACACTGAGGAAGCCTGGGTTCTACACTCCCCCGCTCACCCCACCACTGCCCGCGGCGCGCCCGTGCCCGACTTCACCCATTGCACCCCAGCAACAGCGGCATCAGAAGCCAACAGACTGTGGAACCTGATCAAACGAGACCCGGATCAGTCCGGGGCCGCCAAAGACGTCATCGACGGCGTGCGCTCTGGCGCGTCCAAGCTCATTTTCTGCCAGGGTCGAGCCGGCTGCGGCAAATCCACCCTCGCCAAGTACATCTCCTACTACGTGCGGTCCCTCGGCAAAAGCTGCGTCAACGTGGCTTCAACGGGCATAGCGGCCTTAAACTTGCCAGATGGGGCCACCGCGCACTCGACTTTCAAGATCCCGATAGAAGACGCAGAGCACCTCACCTGCCGCCTGGGGCACTCCTCCGCGGGCGCCCTCACCATCGCGGCCGCTGCCGTCATTCAGTGGGACGAGTGGCCATCCTGCAAACGCGCTGCCTGGGATGCGGTCCTCGACTACCTCGCGCTCCTGCAGCAGGCTCGGCCAGACATTTACGTCCCAAAAGTCATCATCACCTACGGGGACTTCCGCCAGATACCGCCTGTTCTGAAGCACGCGTCTAGACAGGATGTCCGCGCCGCCAGCGTCACAACGTCGGCTTCGTGGCCCTCCTTCCGCACTTGGCAACTCCGCACCACGCACCGACAAATCCACGACAGTGACTACGCTTCATGGATCGAACGCATCGGCCAGGGCGAGGTTCCGCACACGCACACCATTGATGGCGAACCCGGCTACATCGAGCTCGACCGCTGCTCCGTGACCCACACCATGGACGACGCCATCACTCATTGCTTCCCACACATAAACGACCCCGCCGAGTGCGCCGATCGGAAGATTCTGACAGCAACGAATGAGGCGAGAAACACCTTTAACGACCGTATCCTGGATACTCTGACGCGCACTTATCTGCTGCACGAGTTCATCGCCAAAAGCTCGGACGCCATTGAATACGACTCCAACAACGACACCGTCGAAGATCACATCACCGCCGAGTTCCTCAACCTGCAGGACGAGAACGGAGTCCCCCCTCACGCTCTCCGGCTCGTTGTTGGCGGCCTCTACGAGCTGATGAGAAACTTCAGTCCGTGTGATCGCTTGATGAACCACACGCACGTCGTGCTCAAATCGGTCTACGAGAAACACGTCCTCGTGGAGCGGCTCGATGGGGAGCAGTTTCCCTTGCCCCGGATCTGCTTCCGCTGGGCACTGGGGCGGGGGGCCACCACCATCCGCCGACGACAGTACCCTTTGCGTCCAGCGTACGCTTCGACGTTCAACGGCTCGCAAGGCACCACGCTGGCCCGCTGCGTGGTCGACGTCCGCAGAAGCCCGTTTTCCCACGGCCATCTCTACGTAGCTTTGAGCCGGGTGGAGACTCGAACGACCATCCGCATCTTCACACTGCCGGAACGCTGCAGCACTGCTGGCAAAGCCCTCACCAAAAACGTGGTGTGGCCTGAGTTCTTGCTCAACGATTCTGCCCCATCGGTTGCCCGGAAACGACCGGCGGCGAGTTCCCGCGACCAGCCTGTTAGCAGCAAGCGCGGGGCCCGACGCCGCTAGGATGCCTTCTTCCTCCCTTGCCTTCGCGTGGGCGCAAAAACAGACCATCGCCGTTCCTCCGTCGTCGCCCTCCCTCCTCTCTCCCCCCGCGTGCCGCCGCCCCGCCAGCCCTGTCGGCCCGCCAGCTTGCGGGGCCATTTCAATTCTCTCGTTGCCGCCACGCAGTGAGCATTTCGGCTGCCAGGCTCCGCCGAGCGTTCGTCTTTTCCTACACTTCTCGCACGTTGGGCCCCCTTCCCTCCCACCTGCGCCGCGATGCCTACCGTCTTCGCCAAGCCCGCTGCCGCCCCCAGCGTCTTGCGCAGGCCAGCTGGCAACGCGGTCCTCGACACGTCCGTGCCGGTGCGCGCGCAGCCCGACGTTGGGGACCGCATCCGCGCGTCCCTGTACACGGTGAACGTCACGATCGAGATGGTCGACACGCCGACGAAGGCCAACGCGGGTTCTCGCCTCACGCTGTCCGACGGCATCAGCATGCGCAGCGGGGCCCCCGCCAACCGCCACGGCCTCACCACTACAGTGAAGAGGGCCACCGACCTGCTGAAGTTGAACCAGCCACCCAACGGAGTATGCGTTTCCGCTGAAGGGCTCCAGCCACCGCAGGCCGGGCATAACCCTACCTCCGGGAGGAGTTGGGCCTGGGTGGTGGCCGCCTATGGCGACAGCGCCAGAGCCGCCTCCCTCGCCACGGAGTACGTGGCGACCCGCGCCGTCGACATCATCACCCACTGCTTCTTGAAGGCCGACCTCCACGTCCCGGCGACTGACACCCAGTGCGCCTGGTCCGCCAAGTCCACGCTGCTGAACAATCGGGTGTCCATCCGCCGCACGGGCTCCATGACGAATGGCCAGACGTACGAGCTCAACGACCTGATCAATTTCGTCTACACGATCCACCCGAACGTCCCGCCCAAGGTGGCCCGCGCACTCAAGGACTTCTTCGACGCGTACCCGTCCATCATCACGGAGGGTGCAGGCCCGGCCCTCGTAGGCCCCGCCTCCACGACCGTGCACCACAGCACTTCCGCTGCGGCCGCAGCGCCGAAGCGCGGGGTGAAGCGGCCCCCGGCGCCCAGCGCGGCGAAGAAGGCCAAGAAGCGCTGATGCTCCAGGCCCAGGCAACTCCAGCGCAAGTTTTTGAATGCCGCGCTGGCTCCCCGTAGCCCGCCGCGTTGCGCGGGCTGTCATTTTCGTGAGTTCTTGCGGTTCCCGCTCGAAAACCTTGCCCCCGCGTCGCGGCCCATTACGGTTCTGCCGCGCGCCCGCTGGCACTTCTTTGCTTCGCGATTCCCTTATTCAGCAGACTTCCACGTTCTGCAAATCTACGCCCCTGGGTTCGCCCAGTGTATTTTTCCATATATTCGCAGCCAAAAACCGAGTGTCAAAAAATCGGGCCCCCAAGGCGTATTTCTTGACATCCCGGTTTCGCACCCGCGCCTCAGCGAAACGGACATTTTGTGCCCCCCAACGATACCGTGGATGTCTGATTTAAACCGTGCTTCATATTTGATCATCCCCTTCACGACTCATATTTCGGCCCCTTGGGTGTCTTTCAGCGGAAGACGGCGTCGACCTCAGAAGGAATCATCGCCGTCGTCCTCGTCCGTCGTCGTCTCCTCCGGGCATACGGCCTCGCGCATCCACAACCGTCCGCTAACATCCTGCCGCTCCAGAGGCAACCGTGCGAACGGTTTCATCCGTATCCCACCTCTTCTTCTTCGTCTTCCTCACCCTCTACCTCCTTCCCCTGCCTCCACCTCATGCCCCCTCCTCTTCCTGTTGCCTCCTCTTCCTCCCGCCACCTCCAACTCCTCCTGTCACCTCCGCTGTTTCTTGCTGCGTTTCCACTTGCGTCAACCAGCCAGATCTTTCTCCCCGGACCCGCCCCCCAGGCCCCCATGAGAGCCCACAGGACCCCAAAGGACAACACAGGACTTCACAGGTTGCCACCGCACGCAACAAGCTTTTCAGTGGGTTGTCTTCCGATTCGGCAAGACCGCGCGTCCCCCTACAAAATATCGCCGGGCATGTACTTCTCTTCTGCCCTTGACACCCCCGCCTCCTTCAATCACTTGCGTGTAATCAAAGCGCATCGTACACTAACGATCCACCCGGAAGCGTCATTGCCTCTTCGCCTTCTCGCCAATATTTTCGACGGCTTTTCTCGCTCGGCCGTCACGTTTTGCCGAGATCGGTCTTCCGCGCCAAGCAACACCCCCGCACATTATGCGTTGAATCCCCGCCTCCGTCAGACAGGATCGGAATGCGCCCAGAGCTATTGCATCCTTTCGGTGTGCCCTACTCGCACACCGCCCTTTAGACCCCACGAGCATTGCATCCATACCGCAAGTCTGGCTTGCGCATGTCGAATGTTCTTGAAGTGGCTTCCGCCATTCCGCCGCCCCCCAGAAGAACTTCCGACCATCGTGGAAGATGCATGCTGGCCATCGGCCCCGCCCGCCATTGTGCCTGGGCTGTGGGTGAGTACCACGTTGGGGCATACAAGAGTCGTTGTAGATGCCTTTCAAGGCCCTCTGGAGGACGCTAGGGAACATCTGGATAACGCTTATGAGAGTTATTCCAGGTCCCTGGAGGCCTCTTCCGGCACCTCGATACCTTCTTGAGGTCCTTCGGGGCGCCTCCGGGGCCTCTGCAAGGCTCGAGGACCCGTTTTAGGACAGATAGCTCCTCATGTGAAGTCGTCTTCTTCTCTTTCGCCCCTCTAGCATCCTCTTGGGCCGCTTTGGGATATTTGGACATCTCTAGAGCTCCTCTTCGACCCCCAAAAAGGGATGCAATACACTGCAGGGACGCCCACTCATCTCACACACCTTTGCGCACCTACCCAGCAGAGTTGAGCGGATCTCACACACATTCCGAATGTGACTCCGGAGCCATCTGGGTCGAGCGTTTCAGCCCCTGTCTCCTTCCATCATCTTTCGCATTTCGACCTGCTGTGCCATCGAGCGCTTTGCGCAAGCCCTCCGCCACCCCATCACATTGCGTCTGGCACTCGAGAAGAACCCTAAAGACCCCTACCAGCCTAACGATCCCGTCAGGACCTCGCACCATGTTACAGAACCACACAACAAAAACACTTCTCACTGGAACATCAAAACCCCACACGCCCCACAGCACTCTACAGGGCCCCTCTGGACCTCCCAGGCTCCAATCGGAGAACACAAGACCCTTCAAGCCTTCCAGGCCCCGACAAGCTCACCGTACTTCCCAATGCCCACACACACCTTTCGCACCATGCGGGACGCCACAGGACCGCATAGGACAACAATGATTCCAAAGCACCCCAATATTACCTGACGCCCCACCGGACCTCACTGAACCGTGTGCCCCATCACAGGCATCAAAAACCCAACGCGCGTCCACATGATCTCATCACGCCACGCGGGAGACCGCAGGACCGAACACGACTGCAGAACCCAAACGTGCCCACATAGAACACCAAGGTGCCCCCCAGAACACCAACGATCACCCGCAAAACTAGACCCCGCCAGACCCCACCGAAGTTTCAGTCCCGACGAATCCCACAAAAGCCGACAGGATTCCGTAAGACCCCAGAACCTCGACGCGACCACAAAAACACCAAGGTCGCCCCCACGACATTTCAAACCTACATCTTGCAAAGCTTCCGAAGTCCACACAGGACCACGCAGCCGAAGTGAGAACCCGGCGAACTCAAGACCCCCAAAACCGAGAATGCACCCGACTATACCCAATAAGACCTTTCCGGACCCCACAGACCCCGCACACCTTTTCGCGGAGCAGATGTTTCTCCACTGGCGGCCACGCCGTCACGAGACAACACCATCTCTTATATACTTTAGGGCGCTGCCTCTGGGTGCGTGGAGTCGTGCCTCTCAGCCCCTGTCTCCTCATCCGCGTTGTTACCTCCACTTCCTCCTTATCGGCTCTCCGCTGTACCATCCAGACTGTTAGGTCACCTCCTCCGCCGTAATCCCACCCTGTCCTTTCGTTGCTCTCCCTCTCTTTATCTTCCACCCTCTGCTCACTTCTCTCCGTCATCGCCGCTCCGCGCACCTACCCCCTACACCACGCGCCTCTTGCACTTCACCCCGCTCCCTTCCCATAATCGAACAATCCTCTCCCTTCCTTCCTTCTCCCGCGTCTGCTACGCTCCTTCTCCTACTGTTTCGCACGCCTGTGGCCCTTCTTCGGGTTGGCGACGATCCCATTCGACAGCGATGCTGGACTCCAACGAGCAAAAATCAATACGGTCAGCCTCGTCTGAGGGCGTACTGGGCGTTGTTTGCGACAAAGACCTTCTCACGTATTGGCATTTGATGTTGCCCTGCCGCAGTTGTATGAGTTACGCTGCGTGCAAAGATATGTCTCACTTCCCCATCTGTTTTCTCGACGGCAGCTGTTCTTACAAAAAAACACGACCGCGACATTTTCTTGAACGCCGTGCAAAAACGGAAGAATGGACGAAGAGACATGCACCATTGGATTCCGATAGACAAGTTGCCTGAAGCATTCCACCTACCCAAACTCGCAGACACCATCCAGCCCGAAGTGGACCATGATTTCCGCACGCGGAAGCTGAATCACTTTCATCCGATCCTTGACAATACAAGCGCCACCAAGCACTACCTACTGATGGCGAATAAGAAGCAACCCTTGACGACGTTGGCGCTGTTCATTTTTATGTCTACTTTGTACCTTAATGAGGGCCACTACCTGGTCACGGTCTTAGCCGTTTATCACTGGTTAGCGCACCAGAAGCAATCTCGACAAGAAATCGTCGCCAGCAGCGCTGCCCGGGACAAGCTCCAAAGCCGCCTCCTGGACGTTCGACGGCACATGTCCGCAGACGAAAAACTACCTGCCTTGATCTCCACAGACGCCTACAATGTGCAGCGCTTCTATGATGCTTTGGTGCTTTGTGAGACTCTGTACGGACGACAGCCAGATGCCGGCTACCACTTGCCGAGCTTCACGCCCGGCGACGATTCGAAACAGTTGTTGGGCGAAGGCGTTGGCACCAAGCCCCACCGCGTGGCTGTTCGCATGCATCACATGGCCCAGACCTTGACGGAACACCAGGCTACCCTGAACGGTAGCCCTGTGCTCATGGTTCAGATGACGAAGACGCTTCTCGCCACCCACGCTTCGTGGCTCCCGTACCAAGCTCAACTGGTGTATAAACGATTCTTTGAGAGTTCATTCGGCACACTCAATTGGCACCAATCAATTATGTCTGAGCTCACATTTATGGAACACGTCGGAGACGGTGACTTCTACTTTTTGAGACACCTGTGCCCGGCGGCCTTCGACATGTACAATGCTCTCGCTGATAGGGAACCCACTGATAGTGGCAAAAGAACAGTGGCTGCCAACGTCACGCAAGCAGAAAGGGAGCTTGGCCACACGCTGGTGCAGATGCTGACGTCGCGGCAACACTCCATGGGCCTGCATTGCCGCGTTAACGCGTTGTTGGGCATGGACCTCATGGATTTTGATGAGACACAATACACGATCTGTGAGAATCGAACTTTCCTGTGGGGGTCCCGCATGCGCAAGAAAATGGCGACAGACACGTGGCTCCACCAAATGCGCTCCGCGCACAGATCCTGGCACAGAGAAACCCTACTCCCCTTCGTGTGGGGGGCCGTGGCCTTGCGCGACGGCAAGCGTTCGAGGTGATCCTATTGTCTTTCCTGTGAGCCACGCCTGTCTAGACTTCCGCGTCCCCGCCTGCTTACGCCAACGCCGTTGCTGTTCGTGGGGCCACCGTGCCATCGCTTTCTCTTCGCAAGAAAAGTCACTCCTCATCCTTCTCCTCCTCCTCCGCCTCCTCTTCCATCCCCTCGCCCTCGTCGTCGCCGTCGCCGCCCCCAAACCGCCCTACCCAACCTGTATTCTAGGCGACGAAGACAGGTCGCCGGGGGCAGGGCCTGCGGCGAGCGCGACGGGAGCGCCCGCGCTTGCCGTCTCATCGACGAAGCCATGGGCCAAGATTTAAGGCGAAGCGGAGCGAGCCTTCAAAATCTTGTATATATATATATATACATAAATAGCCTTTCGCCGCGTCCGCGCGCACGGCGACTATGAGCGACGAACAACAAGCCACGAGCGACGACGACGACGACGACGACGACGACGACGACGACGACGACGACGACTGCGGACCGGACTCCTATGCGGATTCCTACGCGGACACCTACGCGGATCCCAAT